AGACAGACAGAGAGACAGACAGAGAGACAGAGAGACAGACAGAGAGACAGAGAGAGAGAGAGAGAGAGAGAGACAGACAGACAGACAGACGATGAAGGAGGTGAGAAAAGAGGTGGAGGATCAAGTGTAAGGAGGAAGAGGAAGAAGAAGGGAGGGATTACATGTCTATTATTTTATTTATTTGTACAACCTGACACCTGTTTTTAATTAATACATAAAGTATGTTTTAAAATGTAAAAAGCATCAAGATCTGAGAACCAAACATCATATTTATATTAATTATAGAGTTGATTGATCTACTGTCCTGCAGTGTGCTGGGGGCGTTGGGGGCGTTGCCGAGGGGGGCGTGGGGGGTAACCAGCGGAGGCAGCGATTGGCTCAGGACTTCCTGATGTGGATGGATCAGACGGAGAGATGCTCTCATGGCCGATCGGCAGGAAGTAGATCCCGTCAAAACAGGAGCGCATGGAGGTCAGGGGATCAATGATCAGGAAACACAGCAGCACTGATTTAATAATAACTTTGGTTTTGTGACATTTTTATTCGATTTTATACGTTTTTATGACATATTATACTTTGAGCTTTTATGATTGTTTGATATTTTATACTATAGTAGGAATTTTAATGCCATTTTGTTACGACATGCTCATATATAGGATTAATTCTTCCATTTTAATTGCATTTTATTCATCTTTTTATATGTTTTCAGACATTTTGGGCTAACTATAGTTTTACATTTAGTGTGACAATGATTATCTATTACACTTTTATTCATAAAAACTCATATCATGTCATAAAAACGTCTGAATAATACAAATAATAAAAAATATATATAATGTATTTAATTCACTCACACACTTTCCATACAAGCCTACTTACTTAGAAAAAGGAAAAGAAATACAATTAAATTAATAACATTTGACTTTAAACAACTGTGAGTATAACTTAAGTTAAATATTGATATATATAAGGATTTAAATAATTATTAACGGGTTATTTGTGCTTTTTTTCCCCGTATCTTCAGCGTCTGGAGCGTCAGACTCGCACCATGGACCCGGCTCAGTACTCTGAGTTCTGCGAGAGCCGACAGCTCAGCTTTGGTGAGATTTAATCAAAGATATGAAACCTCTCTGTGTCAGCGCTTTGTCCTCAAAAATTAAACATATGTTCGGGGGTCCCAAACTACAGCACAATGTCAGGTGCGTCTAAATTCTCTATGTGTGTAAGAACCGGTTGCCATATACAGGGTGCGTACGGGTGCTGGAAATGCTTGAAAATGCTTGAAATTGTACGAGGTGTTTTCAAGGTTTGAAAAGTGCTTGAATTTTGGGAATGGTGCTTGAATTTGGGATAAAGTGCTTGAAATTGTAAATGCTTTACTTCGCTTTTTAGATTAAAAGAAAATAAAGAAGTCGGAGCGCGCTTAATTGCTTCGCTTTTACATAAAACAGCTCCGCTCCGGCCTCCCGCGCAATGCGCGTGACCGGCAAGTGTTTTTGTTACGTGTGTGACCTGGGCATTCTGATGAGAGTGATAGATGACAGTATGCCAGGAGGTTGCCGTGTCAACGAGCGTTGGCTAGCAGAAGACAAATACAAGCCATGGCTAAGACGAGGGTCAAGCGAAGCCCAAGAGTAGCCTCCTGCAAAGTGGCAACAATAACGATCGAGAGTCTGCGCTGACGAGCCACACACCACACGAAAGGTACGCCAGAGTAGAGCATTTTAGATTAGGCTATCGTTGCATGTAAAATACATGACACTTTTCTCTGTGCGGCAAAACAAGCTCGCCAAAATGGCTTCACTAGTCTGGCAGTATTTTAAGTGTCCGAAAATGACAATAAAATAGCGGTATGCAACGTGTGTGTGAAGCAGAAATCCTGCAGCTCCACCCGCTGTGACGGACCGGTGAGCGGAGCAGAACACACATTAAGAGTTAGACCTAACACACTTAGCTATTTGATCTACCTCTGGAACAAGCTAAACTAGTTATAAATATATTTATTCTTCACTGTCGGGTCACTCATTACTGGATCAGTGAGCTGCAGGAGATACTGACGGGCTGTCAGGAGAGAGTGAGAGGGGGAGAGAGGAAAAGAGAGCGGTATCGGTATCGGCCGATACTGATTCCGGCGATCGGCTCCAAAATTGGCGATCGGAGCATCCCTAATAATTGTATATGATATGTTTTATAATGATTGATCATTAAAGTGTTATCAAAGCTGGTAAAGGTGCAGCTAGTTTGAATGACTTTGTATACTGCAGGGTAGCTTGTGAATTTACTCCAGGTGGAACTAAAGTCTGATTTAACACTTGATTATATTTCACATCATTCATCCACATCTGTAAAGTAACTAAAGGTATTAAATACATGTAGTGGAGTCAGTGGCGGCGCCAGAGCATTTTTGTTGGGTAATCTATGGTAGGGCTAACCCATACAGTGGTGGTGCTCAAGTCAGTATTTGCAATGTAATTACATACACGCTATATCGCCCCCCTTGACAGTGAAACGCCACGCGTGAGGTTTAGATTATTTCCCTGTCTCAATCAAAATGGAACTGTATGAAATAAAACGGCATATTTGTCTTGTAGTAAATAAAAAGGGATCACTGTGAACGTGACGTATGATAGTACACGTTGAAGATCCAATGGGGATACTGAATGGCGGTTTCGATTGATCTCAATCAATAAGGCATGACGCAGATCCAACGTTGCGTTGCTCTGATTGGCTGAAGGTCTATTCAAATTGCATTCGGAGGCATTTTGATCTGACCGCGGCCGCGCTGATATTATAACGCCAGAGAATTTCCACACCTTTAGTGTATAAAACTCCCCCACTACTTAGACTATTCCTTGCACCCCTCTTATAGCATAAGCCCGAATGGTCTCAACCATATTGCATCAGTAACGTGCACTTGTTGTTACAGCAGGATCAGTTTGTGCTGTGGACACGACCCGTATATTTTCGCAATCCGTGTTCTCAACATTTAGCATTTCGCTTATTATTTAATTGAATTTGCATCACATCACTTTTCATGGTGGGGCTAAGGTGGGGCTAAGCCTCTTGGTATGGCTGTAGCCTACCCCAGCCATACCCTGGCGCCGCCACTGAGTGGAGTCAAAGTACACCATTTACCTCTGACTTGTGTTTACTGCCAACCTAAAAGTACCTCAAAAATAGTAATCAATAATATATTGAAAAGTTATTTGGCTGATTGTTTTATATTGGCTCAGCCAGGTTATATGGGAGGCCCAGTCTACGTACAGATGGGTCACTCATTTTGAAATATTAAATTTAGTTTTCTTTTCTAACATATTTAATTTTTCATCCTCATGTAGAATGCTATTATGAAACACACATTTGGTTGTTTATAGCATAAAGAACATCTGATTTAATGTGAGGTAGGGAAATAATCATTTGAGTATAAGTATGTGTATATAAATATGTAATTTACAACAGCTGTAAGATGCTTGAAAAGCTTGAAAATGCACCTTGAAAATGCTTGAAAAGTGCTTGAATTTGACTTTGGAAAAGGTGTAAGAACCCTGCATATAGCGTATAGCTGGTGAGCACAGCCCCTTGGTTTCTTTGTACTGTTTCTGATTCTGATTCTATAGGAGCGTTCACACCAAGTTCTTTTCCCACAATAGTTCATGAGAACTCTTTTAGTTCTGATGAACTAAAGAGCAGATCGCGTTCACACCGCAATGAGTCCCTGAGGGTGGATTAGGCAAATGAGCCGCTGACGTCACTTCTTCTTCTTCTGCTTTGGGTTTACTGGCAGGCAGCAAACCACTTCACGGCGTATACTGCCACCCGGAGTCCCCGGCCGGAAGTCCCCGGAGTTGGGGAAGGCTTCAGTAGAAGCTGCTGGGACTCCCAGCAGCTTCTACTGAAGCCTTCAGAGTAAATCACCAGAAGCGCCGACACCTCCTCATCTCCACCGCTCCCATGTTTTCTTTTGTGTTGCCATAAGTTAGTCTCTCTCCGTTTGGTGCGCAGGGCGAATGCGAATGCTAATGCGGAGGATAATAAAATGGCGGCTTCACAAAACTTTTTGGGAGTTTTACGGGGCGTGGTTTGCAATCCGCCCAGCCAATCAGACGTAGGAACCTTTTTCTCCCACGAAAGTCCTGCTCTCTAGCAGAGGGGTAAAAGGGGGTAAAAAGGTTCTGATGAACTCATTTAGTTTCCTGGGGCTTTTTGGTTGTGAACGCAATATATCTGAGATCTGATGAACTATTGTGGGAAAAGTACTCCGGTGTGAACGCGCCATATGTAAAGCGTCTTTGAGCGCCAGGAAAAGCGCTATCAAAATGAAATGTATTATTATTATTATAACACATGTTCTCTGATGTCTTATGGAGTCTTTTTAACAGTTTTTGAATGTGTTTTAGCGAAGAAGGCGTCTAAGTTTCGGGACTGGCTGGACTGCAGCAGCTTGGAGCTGAAACCCAACAGCGTTTCCATGGAGATCCTGTCCTACCTGGCCTTCGAGACGGTCGCCCAGGTAACACACACACACACACACACACCACACACACCCACACACACACACACACACACACCACACACACACACACACACACACACACACACACACACACACACACACACACACACACACACACACACACACACACCCACACACACCAACACACAACACACACACACACACACACTCCAGGAAACGTGTCTGTGTCCTTTCTACCTGTTGTAATGACACATTTCTCTCCTCCACAGATCATGGATCTGTCTCTGCTGGTGAAACAGGAAATGACGCCCAAAACAAATCCCATTAGTCATGTGATCTCATCAAGCTTCATCCAGTACAACACACACCCTGAGGTACACACACACACACACACACACACACACACACACACACACACACACACACAACACCCTGAGGTACACGCACGCACACACACACACACACACACACACACACACACACACACACACACACACACCCTGAGGTACACGCACGCACACACACACAAAAAACACTCCATCTTTCTCTTCTCCAGGTGAAGAAGGATCCAGACTCACCTGAGGCCACGCCCCCTTCCACTCCAGGCTCCTCCCAATCAGCTAAGCCCCTCCCCCAGGGTAACGGCAGTCTGGACGGCCGGGCGAGGCAAAGGAAACGCAAAAAGGGTGTGTTTAGTATTGAAATATCCATGTTTAGTATCAGTCAAACGTTTGGACTTCCTCAATCAGTGCTTTTATGATACCTTAACAACACAACATACTCTACTATACATTTCACGCCTTTTGTTAACATACCATACGATGACTTTTGTAGGAATCTTTCATCAAACTATACTATGCATTGTTTTGCTACGTTTTTTTTGGACTACTATATTACTTTTTTTGAGTTTTTTAACGACAAGCTATATTTTGTCTATTTTTGACTTTTTCTCATCCAGTTACTTACGACTTTTTCCGAGAAACTATACTACGGTTTTTTAATGACTTTTTTTAAACAAACTGTAATAAGAGTTTTTTCACGACTTACTAAAATAACTTTGTTTGAATTAAATCTTAATCGGATATTAACTTATCCCATCAGTCAAATATCTGAATCGTCTTTTTCTTTAACAACAGTTATAATCATGTCATCCTTTAAGTATCCGAGTCAGTCCTCGGCGTCTTCATAATTTATTAATAACCTTTATTGTTTCAGAGTTGTCCGGCTGCTGTGGAGCCTCCGGGTGGAGGAATCCAGCCGGGACACATCAGAGAGGCTATCAGGAGATACAGCTACAGACACACTGTAGGCACACACACACACACGCGCACACACACACACACACACACACACGCACACGCACACGCACGCTTTGAACCCAAATACCTGTACTTTCTACTTCTTACATGTTGAACCCAAATACCTGTACTTTCTGCTTCTTACATGTTGAACACAAATACCTGTACTTTCTACTTCTTACATGTTGAACCCAAATACTTGTACTTTCTACTTCTTACATGTTGAACCCAAATACCTGTACTTTCTACTTCTCACATGTTGAACACAAATACCTGTACTTTCTACTTCTCACATGTTGAACCCAAATACCTGTACTTTCTACTTCTTACATGTTGAACACAAATACCTGTACTTTCTACTTCTTACATGTTGAACACAAATACCTGTACTTTCTACTTCTTACATGTTGAACACAAATACCTGTACTTTCTACTTCTCACATGTTGAACACAAATACCTGTACTTTCTACTTCTTACATGTTGAACACAAATACCTGTACTTTCTACTTCTTACATGTTGAACACAAATACCTGTACTTTCTACTTCTTACATGTTGAACACAAATACCTGTACTTTCTACTTCTCACATGTTGAACACAAATACCTGTACTTTCTACTTCTCACATGTTGAACACAAATACCTGTACTTTCTACTTCTTACATGTTGAACCCAAATACCTGTACTTTCTACTTCTTACATGTTGAACACAAATACCTGTACTTTCTACTTCTCACATGTTGAACACAAATACCTGTACTTTCTACTTCTCACATGTTGAACACAAATACCTGTACTTTCTACTTCTTACATGTTGAACTCAAATACCTGTACTTTCTACTTCTTACATGTTGAACCCAAATACCTGTACTTTCTACTTCTCACATTTCCCAAACAGGCTGGTTCCTTTAGTTTGAATGTGTGTTTGGTGGCGTGATCATTATTCTTTAGAGTCATTGCGTGCCTATTGATTTGAACACGATCCGTGTATCCATCATTTCCTGGTCTTCTCTAAAGAAGAGGGACCAATGAAAACGTTGTCATGTTGCCGTTGTTCAGCATGGAAACATTCATTAGCTAACAATGACATTATTGTTCTATTAATATAAAGGGAGGTCAGGTACTCTTTAAAACAGCTGCTAGTTATGGGTACTTTTTACTGAAGTACATTTCAAAGCCTCTTTACTTTGACTTGAGGAAAGAAGTTTAGTCAGTACTTCTACTTTCACCAGAGTATGTTTAAACACGAGTATCTGTACTTCTACTTGAGTAAAGGATGTGTGTAGTTTTGCCCTCTCTGGGTATGTGTCATACTTAAATAGATGGGGAACAAAAACCTTACACATTACACTTCTTGCACTATTTATTATTAGTATTTTATTATATATGTTGTATTGAGAAGTTAAACTTTTCAAGCGTCGATCAAATCATATGCCAGTACAAGCGCTAGCCAATCAAACCGCGTGCTTGTGTCTCCGGGGCGGGAGATTAATGCGATTGGTTGTTGGTCGCACGCCAGACACGCCCACCGGCTGCCGTGCGGACCTGCCGTAAAACCTTTGCCAGAAATTGTTCCTTTTTCCCCAGAATGTTCTCGTTAACTCACTTTAATTTATCAAAGCCTTTGGGGGATGTCATGTCCGTTTAAAAACCCCTCATCTGAGTCAGAGAGCTGTGTTTTATATCAAATCTGCCTCATTTCTCTCAGAGTCCGTACTGGAGGAGTGGGATGGCCTTCCTCGCCTGCTGAACATCACTCACAGAAACCTGCTTCATCATTTGTATTTTTGTTCCCTTGTTGTAATAAAGACTTTTCAGTAAACCTGTTGTTGTATTTCTGTTTTAAAAATATCCAAAATCACTTGTTTGTACACTTGCCTGGAGCTCAAGAAAAAACCACGCACTGTAATTGTTGAAAAGAAACTTTATTGGTCACTAGTACAGAAACAGAAACAACTGAGCATGCTCACAACTCAGCGTATGACATCATAGCAACATAAGCACATTGGGGGCGGGGCTTATCTCTGGGGGCGGGGCTTATCTCTGGGACTGCTGCTAACATTGAAAAAAAACAACAACTTTAGATCGAGAGACACGTTTATCATTTATCGTAGCGTGAGAGAGTGTGAGAGAGAGTGTGAGAGAGAGTGTGAGAGAGAGAGAGTGAGAGTGTGTGAGAGAGAGTGTGTGAGAGAGAGTGTGAGAGAGTGAGAGTGTGTGTGTCAGTATTTCTGCTCTGAGTTGATGAACTCCTCTCTCTCCATCATCAGCTCTCCATATCTGTGCTGCAGCTCTCTCTCTCGCTCCATCTGCCGCTCCACGTCCTCCCGCAGAGCCTGAAACAGAGACAAGCCGATGAACAGCTAGTCGACTTCAAAGATAAACAGATCATCTTTCATTCAGACGAACTATTTTGACTGTTTTCAAAGAATTTGTTTCCACAAGATATTCCTTTCATGACTTTTGAACGTTTTTTTTCCGACAAAACTCAACTATGACTTTATTTTAAACTATAATACGACTTTTCCCCCAATTTTTTTGTACATACTATTCTACAACTTTTTTAATAAAATGACTTTTATAAGACTTTTTTTCGACAGACTATGTGTATAGTGGCATCCAAGGTTTCCTTTGATGCCACTATAGAGCGGGGTTGACGACACGCAATCCAGAGCAATAAGCAGCCGAAGGTTTTCAGTCAAATGTAATTTATTAACAAAAAAGGTATTTGACTTAAATTGTCTCAAAATAACAAATCTAACTAATAATTTCGGCGATATACTTTCCTATATAAACTATACTTTGCAGTCCAATTTGCAACACTAATTTCGTTTACAATTTGCGGTGGAAAAACTGTTCCGCCCCCCGTCTCATCAGGTCTCAGAGCACCCGTCTCATCAGGTCTCAGAGCACCCGTCTCATCAGGTCTCAGAGCACCCGTCTCATCAGGTCTCAGAGCACCCCAGCTGTCCTCAATGACCTCACTTAAATAAACACCGGAAGGTCCAAGGAAACAGATCTATCTAATTTATTTTCCGACAAACATTAGATGGCATTGCATGTCACTTGTTAGACACTTGTATCCAAAGCGACTTACAGTCACTCAGCACTGTGATACCCAGGAGCAGTTTTAGGATGAAGTGCCCAACGACATGCTGACTGCAGGGGGATTGAACCAGTACTCAGCGCACTAACCCACTGAGCTGCTGATACATCGTTTTTATAGATTTGTCTTTTTAAACTACTTTATTCTCTCAACTGTTTCTACTCTTTCATTTCTATTTATGTTGCAACACAAAAATATCCCAATTTCAGATCATTAAATACCTCTTACCCTATCTTATACCATGATGACTATTTGACTTATTTGCAACTTTTTCTACAGAACTGACTTTTAACGACTTTTCTACAACATACAAAACTTTGAGTTAAAGAAACGTTACGACTTTTTTGTGGCATGCTATAGGACTATTTTTCGACACACTTAACCAAACTTTTACCAACATACCATAGTGAACGTTTTCTCGCGAGAAATCATTGACATTTTCTACGACATACCAGACTATCAATCTTTCTACGACATACTAAACTTAGACTTTTCTTTGGTCATGCTTCTGTAGATTTGGTAGATTATACTTCATACTATGAGAATCCCTGACTTTCTACGACATACTTTTTGATATGACTTTTTACGGTGTATATCTAATACTGTTCACCTGGTAAATGACTTTAATGTTTCATCAATGAACCTAACGATGGACCAGTGGCTTCAGCGTTAGAACAAAGTCAGATTTGAACAGGTGACAGAGTGAAAGGCGTGTACCTCTTTTCTTCTGGGGATCGCCGTGTCCTCTTGTTTCTTCAGCTGATCGAAGGTCTTCAGCTCCGTGGCAGACTGCTCCACCTGGTGGACAACAGCAGCATTACATCAGTATAACACTCAGTATCATATCTCAGGATAACCCGCTTCAGATGCCACTTTAACAACCTGCAGGAGAAATGACTGCAAAGCTAGTTAACAATTCACTGATGTATTTTCTAGATCATTATTTAACATATAAGCTCTTTATTGAGAGATATGATTTGCAAAACTGTACTTTTAATACAATGTGACTTAAATTAAAGAATAAAACAATAAATAAAAGAAACCTGCAACACATCAATGTAAATTAAAACGTGCTGTGTACTTCATTAAGCTCAGAATAAAGAGTAAATAAGGATGTTTTTTTTAAACTTGGCTCAGTACCTGTTCCCAGATTTCGTTGTGTTGCTTCAGGAGCCCCAGAGCTCGGGACTGAAACCCTCCCAGCAGGATCTTCAGCTTCTTCTCCAGTTTAGCCGCTCTGCGAGCTTCTGCTGTCATGTGACCTCGATTCACCTGCACACACACACACACACACACACACACACACACACACACACACACACACACACACACACACACACACACACACACACACACACACACACACACACACACACACACACACACACACACACACACACACACACACACACACACACACACACACACACCACACACACACACACACACACACACACACACACACACACACACACACACACACACACACCACACACACACACACACACACACACACACACAACACACACACCACACACACACACACACACACACACACACACACACCAGGGTTAACACCGCAGCTTTTTAAAATGTTGAAACAGTTCAGTCTCCATCAATTCTCCGTTTGTTTCTCACCTCCAGTTTTTTCTCCAGGCTTTCAATCCGATCTTTCTTTGACGCCAGGTTGGCTCGGGTGTATCTGTTCTGAGCGGGGAGATATAAAACCTGCAGGACGAGACAGACAGACATCAAGATGAATCAGTTCTTTACCAAACCTTCATGATGCTTGGTGCTGATAGCAGAGGGATGTTCACCTGTCCGTAGCACTCCTCCCACACCTGGCTGTAGGCCTCCATGCTCAGATCTCCGTGACCCATCCCCCCCTTCACCACCTCCATCTCTGCTGCCAGCACCGCCTTCGCCTGGGGACGAAGCACATGGACAACACGACATTAGGGTTTGAGCAGCTCTTTAGAGGAAGGTATGTTTGTTTATAAAGCACATGTTCAGACACAGAGGCAATTCAAAGTGCAACACATCAACATTAACACTTAGGTGCCGTTTACACGAAGACGAAACGGCTTGTATCTGCATAGTTTCTCTAAGGCGTAGGCTCCACGAGGACGAAAACGGGTTGAATCCGCATATTTCTCTTGCGTATAGCCCTTTAAGCTCGACGACGCCGTAACAGAAACGTAGAAACAGACCCCGCAAACGACATCGGGTCCAAAGGTGGATAGATCTGGGAACGGAGCGCTCTGGGGGGTCCAACGGGGCCGTGGGGTCGCCTATACGGTCATGCGTTTCATAGCCCCGCCTCTCCCCGCCTCCCCCCCCCTCTGCTGCTCACCCCCGCAAAAGTACACTGCACACTGAATTCAGATTATTTATCTTTATCTCGATATGAACATAAACGCGAGTGAAGTCTAATCTGACAGGACGGAGACACGCAGCTCCTCCGGCCGTGAAGCAGCGGGAGCAAAACACACACTTCAAGTCAGATCACCACCCTTAGCTATTTTAATTACCTCTCAAACTACCTAAACTAGTTATAAATATGTTTATTTTTACTGTCGGGTTTACTTACTGGATCAGCTGCTGCATGAGGAAGCATGAAGATTTAAACTTTAACACACATTGACCGCGGAGAAAAAACAGAAGTGCAGCCATGACAACCATTCTTCTTCGCTGCTTTTGTGGAGGAAGTTGCTGCTTTTGTGGAGGAAGTTACAGCGCCACGTACAGGTTCGGCATATGTACTGCAGCTTTTCCAGCGGTTGGATGTAAACGGAGCCGTCTCGTGTGGGCAGACACTATCCGGTGTATATTGCGTGTGGGCGGAAGGTTTTTTGCGGTTGCATTTGCGTTACTCCGATGCGTTTTGCCGTATGCGTTCCCGTGGAGCCGGGGCCTTACGTATAGCCCTATTATTTACACGAGGCCGTAACAAACGGACCCCACAAACGATAACGGGTCCCAAGGTGGATAGATTTGCAAACGAAACGCTCTGGGGGGTCAAACGAGTCCGTGTAATCACCTCTATACGAATATTTCCTGAAAATATAACGATAGCCCCGCCTCTCCTGCTCACTGCTGTAGCATGGCCAGTAGCTACTGGCAGTAGCTACTGGCAGTAGCTACTGGCAGTAGCTACTGGCAGTAGCTACTGGCCATGCTACAGATGTTAGTGCAACATCTACAGCTCCTCTACCACAACCATCAGCAACAAGTGGACATGGAGAATTACATGAACTACATGTTGCTAAATCCACCGCGGGGCATAAACAGAAGGGTAGCCATGGCAACATTGCTTCGGGGTCTTCTTCGCTGCTTTTGGTGTATTTTGTGGCGGAAGTTACAGCGCCACTTACAGTCCCGGCATATGTACTACAGCGTTTCCAGCGGCCTCGTGTGAACAGACACGTTAAATGAAACGAATGCATGTGAACGGAAGACTTTTTTGAATACGCATACTGTGCATAAACGCAAACATATGGCCTTAGTAAGAAGACAACAGAAAGACAATAAATAATCACAATGGAACAGATTCATATAAACCATGCATACAAGAGATAGTTTAAAAACAACATTGTAAATACAGTAGGTGCTAAAACAAGTTAAAAGACTTCTAGGGAGGCAGCTGAAAAAAGTCATGTTTTTAGCCTCGATTTAAAATAACTGGGTCGTAACAGAGCAGCTTGCCGGACATATATACACAAAACATTTAGTGCTTTATAAGTTGATGTGTTTCTTTCGGTCAGGACTCTGGATTAGTTTTTTAAGGGATCTTTTTAAACAGAGACCTGTAAATACACTGTCACAGTAATCCACCTGCTAAAAACACATGCGTGGATGAGTTTTTATTAAATTCAAGCACTTTAAAACACTGGATCAACTACAAAGACCGAGTTGTTCCCCCTCTCGCTCCCTCCACTCGTCCTCTGCCCGTCTGTAAGAAATGACTCCACAGCTTTGGATAGAGCTCCGGTTAAATGTAATGTAATGAGGTATAGTCTCCTGCTCCATGTTCCTGTTTCCCTACTTGTTCCCAGAATGACTTTAAACCCACATTAATGAATGTTTACTGACATTAGTTTTTAGTTTTCGAGCTCCAGTTCAAAGTATACTGAAGGCGGTGTCGTCCCCTGTTTTTAGAAGTATAATGCAGTATATTCACCAGCTCCATGTCCTCTGTGGGGACGGGTTTGTAGGGGTGTGTCTCCAGGTGTCCGATATGCGAGGCGTTGTTGGAGGTGGAGGCGGGCCCTCTGGTTTTCCCGCGCTGTGATTGGCTGTCCCTGTTGATTGACGGGTGGTGCAGACAGTCGAAGTGCAGCATGGTGATCATCTCCTGTTTGATCAGCTCCTCGGCCAGCTGGAGGTCCTGCAGCGTCTCCATGGAGGAGGGGCGGAGCACCGACTCGTTCACCTGCAGAGAGATGACATCATCATCATGCTGCTAATGCTAAGGTAGCTTCTCAGCTAATGCCACTTGTTTTAATCAATTTGTAATCTATTCTAGAAAAACTGTGAGCTTTTTTTGAGATTTCAAGAAGCGTATAAACAAACAACGGATGTCTTTTATGAACATGTATCCATGGTGGAAGTAGATTTAGATGTTCTAGGAGTTAGATAGAGATTATAGATGTAATTATGCATCCCATGAAGCATTGCATGAAGTCTGTCGACGAATCAGAGGCTGTTGTTGGGGCTGCATAAACCTCCCCCCTGGAGGTGTAGACCGTGAACTGGGGCCCTCTGGCTCGTCTCTGACAGAAACTTTTTTGCTAAATATTATAGATACATATTGATTTTGGTTTGAAATACTTTCTTTTGTCCCTATGGTCACCAAGACTTGAAATAACCATTTACTTTTCACTGTGGGTTTCGAATACATTGAGTGATAACATTTTTGTGTTGTTTTTTCTTTTATACTTGTAGTCTCACATCCATGTGACATCCCTGCAGTCGACATATGCCGATAGCTTAGCTTTTCATGCAAACAAACATGTCTATAACTTGATTGTGCAGCACAGGGCTTAGACCTCAGAGAGTTAACCACTCAGATCAATCCCTCAGAAAGTGTCTGTGTGTCTGTGTGTGTGTGTGTGTCTGTGTGTGTGTGTGTGTGTGTGTGTGTGTCTGTGTGTGTTACCTCGGTGGGTCTGGGGAGGTTCCTCTGAACAGAAGTGTGTCTCAGCTTCAGCTCCTTCTCTCTCTCTAAGTCACGAACAGCCTGTAAGCACACGCACAGGTTAACATCACATACGAGTGACTTCACGGCTCCCTCCCTCCTCTTCGGGCCTCAGATGTTTTCTCTACCTGTTTGCGATCCTCCACGTCTGAGGAGTCCTCCGTGAATCCCGTCTCCGACTCCGTTTCCTCCAGATCCTTCTCTGCGTTTTCCGGGAGAACGATCTCGAAGTCGTTTTTGGGAACAGGAAGTGACAACAGACCCTGCCTCAGCTGCTGCAGGCTCTCCCTTTGCTGTGAGGGGAACACAAACATGCATCCAACTGTTCAGAGTCACACAGCCTACTTTAAGGTGTCATTATTCACCTTTTCTTCTAAATAACACTCTGGATTATCACAAAACTTGTATTTATATATATTCTTTCATATAAACCTGTAATATTAAAGTTATTTAAGTTGTATTTCATAATTAATTTGGAAAAACCTATTATTTAAGAACACCTATATTTAATCTGTAAATATAATAACTTTCGTCAAAAGGAGACACTGTGGTTTCACACAACTTGCATTAAACTTGTTAGTCCGGCAGTGGCTCAGTCAGTAGGGGCTTGGACTGGGAGCCGTAGGGTCGCTGGTTCAAGTCCCCGACCAGACCTAAATATGGAGTGTGGACTTCTACTTGGAGAGGTCCCAGTTCACCTCCTGCCCTGCCGTGGTGCCCTTGAGCAAGGCACCGGACACCCCCCTTCCCCCCCACTCCCATTGCTCCCCGGGCGCTGTACAATAGCTGCCCACTGCTCCTAGTACTAGACTCCTTGTACTAGGATGGGTTAAAAGCAGAGGCCAAATTTCACTGTGTGTGCTCTGCATGTGTGACCATTAAAAGAGGGTTTCATCCCTCCCTATTCTATTCTATTCTTCTATTCTATTTAATACATTTGATGTAAAACCTATTTAGTAACACAAAACTTACATTAATCTTATGCTTATTTATTTTAAGTTGTGTATTTTCAGTACAACGTGTGTGTGTGAGGAGTGTGTGTGAGGAGTGTGTGTGTGAGGTGTGAGGAGTGTGTGTGTGGGTGTGTGTGGAGTGTGTGTGTGTGAGGAGTGTGTGTGAGGTGTGTGTGTATGAGGTGTGTGTGAGGAGTGTCTGTGAGGAGTGTGTGTGAGGAGTGTGTGTGTGTTTGAGGCGTGTGTGTGTGTTTGAGGAGTGTGTGTGTGTATGTGTGTGTTGAGGCGTGTGTGTGTGTTTGAGGAGTGTGTGTGTGAGGAGTGTGTGTGTGTATGTGTGTGTGTTTGAGGCATGTGTGTGTGTTTGAGGATTGTGTGAGTGTGTGTGTGAGGAGTGTGTGTATGTGTGTGAGGAGTGTGTGTGTGTGTTTGAGGTGTGTGTGTGTGTTTGAGGAGTGTGTGTGTTTGAGGAGTGTGTGTGTTTGAGGAGTGTGTGTGTATATGTGTGTGTTTGAGGCATGTGTGTGTGTTTGAGGAGTGTGTGAGTATGTGTGTGAGGAGTGTGTGTGTTTGAGGAGTGAGTGTGTGTGTGTGTGTTTGAGGAGTGAGAGTGTGTGTGTGTTTGAGGAGTGTGTGTGTGTGTGTGTGTGTGTGTGTGCGTGTGTGTGTGTGTGTTCACCAGGTGTTTGGAGAAGGCGGGGTCAGCCAGCTGCTCCTCACTGTTGATGTTTAGTTTGTCTCTCAGAGGAGTTCTGGCAGGGGTCGACCCGGGGGTCACGGCCCCCCGAGGGGTCATCACTGCAGACTGAGGGGTCATCCCGTCACCCTGACTCTGAGTGGGGGTTCTGATGGAGAGAGGAGAGGGTTAACATCAGCTGATTGGTCGTTTAAATTAACGGTAGCCAATGGGATTCCTCCGTGTGCTTTTGGATTGTGTCAGAAAATAATCTCACTGGCGAAACGGGAAAGGGGTGAAACGGGAAAGGGCGAAATGGGAAAGGGGCGAAATGGGAAAGGGGCGAAATGGGAAAGGGGCGAAACGGGAAAGGGGCGAAACGGGAAAGGGGCGAAATGGGAAAGGGCGAAATGGGAAAGGGCGAAATGGGAAAAGGGCGAGATGGGAAAGGGGCGAAACGGGAAAGGGGCGAAATGGGAAAGGGCGAAATGGGAAAGGGCGAAATGGGAAAAGGGCGAGATGGGAATCATTTAGGGGCGAATTGGGAAGGTGCGAGATGGGAAGGGGCAAAACGGGAAAGGGGCGAAATGGGAAAGGGCGAAATGGGAAAGGGCGAAATGGGAAAAGGGCGAGATGGGAATCATTTAGGGGCGAATTGGGAAGGGGCGAGATGGGAAGGGGCAAAACGGGAAAGGGGCGAAATGGGAAAGGGCGAAATGGGAATCATTTAGGGGCGAATTGGGAAGGGGCGAAATGGGAATCATTTAGGGGCGAATTGGGAAGGGGCGAGATGGGAAGGGGCAAAACGGGAAAGGGGCGAAATGGGAAAGCGGCGAAAAGGTAATAATGTAGGGTCGAATTGGGAAGGGGCGAAATGGGAAGACACCCTGCTCTTGTTATTGATGAAACTGATCACATTGTAATGATTGTATGTATTACTTCATGAATTTTTCTTAACAGACTGTACGTGGTTTGTCGTGCTTTGCTTTCTGTTATTTTGTTCATGTATGTCTGTAAGACGTTGCTTTTGTCGGGACCCCCTTGAAAACCAGATGGTGCATCTCAGGGGGGTTTATCCTAATAAATAAACGTCTATATAAAACAACCAGAGGAAAGGTGGAGTGTTGTTACCTGAAGGGTGTGGTGAGGACGGTGTTGGGAGTCTGAGATTGTGTTTTCTGAGGCGTCACTCCGCTGAAGTCGCTCTCGTGCAGCGGGGTGTTCAGGCCTCCCTTCAGAGGGGTGTCGATGTTCGTCAGAGCCATCAGGTTCTGGGCTTCCTGAAAACACACACACAAGTTACAGGAAGTTACAGGATGTTACAGGAAGTGCATTTTGTAAATTGTGTAATTTTAATATTTTTTTATGCACGCTTCTTAGGTAACATTAAGCTGTCTTTGGCTCTTTTCTGCTGTAACAATATGTGTGTGTGTGTGTGTGTGTGTGTGTGTTACCTGCAGTATCCTGTCCTGTATTAGGGGGGTGCGGGGGGTTCTCTGCCCCGTTGCCATGGCGTTGGTGACGCTGTACTCTGATAGGAGGGCTGAGGAGGCAGAGTTCCCGCTCTCGCTCTCCTCCACCGCCTGACGGGCCACTTCGCTCGCCACGCCCAGCTTCACCACCTCCTCCAGCTCAGCGTCACTGATCTGGGAACAGATTCAATATAACACCACCACTGATTTACCTGAGATTATATTCAAAGGTCTCCCATCACGCAAAATGCACTTTTCGATGTTTTTTTTATACGTAAATAGCCCACTTCCCCCAGCTCAGCGTCACTGATCTGGGAACAGCGGCAGATCACGATACGATACAATAACACTTTAATGGTCAGATCAAGACACAAACATGTAACATAACGGCACAATCACAGAGAGAAAAGCTGCTCAAAGCCTTCAGCGTGCATCTGATCTGGGATTCATTATAACACCACCACTGATTTACCTGAGACTATATTCAAAGGTCTCCTATCACGCAAAATGCACTTTTCGATGTCGTAATATACGTAAATAGCCCACTTCCTCCAGCTCAGCGTCACTGATCTGGGAACAGCGGCAGATTAAATATAACACCAACCAGAGATTATATTTATCGTAGAAATGTCTCATAAGTCTCATTTAATTATATATAATGTCACTGTAACTTTATTTTCTAAATTCACGCCTAGCTCCTAAATGTTGTCAGACAGAAGGGTTGACCATTTTCAGGCGATTATCACATGATCTTATGTTTGTAATTAGCACGTATGCACGTTTTGCCCGTCTGGCCAACATTTCAATGGCCTGTAATGTAAATCCCCTTTCCTTTGTCCGTTCCAACCGGCTCAGATTCTTGTTCTGCAGGTTATCTGTCCTTCCAGCTGGAAATAGATTGATTCTGTTAAATGCTATAACTCATCTTTGAGCAAATCACATCAGAGACATGTGTTTTATATATTTTTATATATCTGAGACCCATAATATATAGCATGATAGGAGATCTTTAAAGTGTTACAGGTGTTTGAGATTGAGTATAACACCAGCACTGAGTTACCTGAGATGATATTTAAAGAGTACAGGTGTTAGTTACCTGAAATGATATATAAAGAGTACAGGTGTTAGTTACCTGAAATGATATATAAAGAGTACAGGTGTTAGTTACCTGAGATGATATATTTAAAGAGTACAGGTGTTAGTTACCTGAGATGATATATAAAGAGTACAGGTGTTAGTTACCTGAGATGATATATAAAGAGTACAGGTGTTAGTTACCTGAGATGATATATTTAAAGTGTAACAGGTGTTAGTTACCTGAGATGATATATATAAAGAGTACAGGTGTTAGTTACCTGAGATGATATATATAAAGTGTAACAGGTGTTAGTTACCTGAGATGATATTTAAAGAGTACAGGTGTTAGTTACCTGAGATGATATATATAAAGTGTAACAGGTGTTAGTTACCTGAGATGATATTTAAAGAGTACAGGTGTTAGTTACCTGAGATGATATATATAAAGTGTTACAGGTGTTAGTTACCTGAGGAATGGGCAGCACCAGCTTGGAGCGTTTCTTGGTGAACTCTGCGACCCCGCTGGTTTGCAAGATGGCCGACGGGAGGTCGCTCTCCTTCTTCTTCTTGATCTTCTGTTTGTCTTTCTTCCTGTCTTTCTCCTCCTGCTCACTAACAACACACACACACACACACACACACACACACACATTAGGATGTAAACTCTGCGTCAATCATATAACAATATGTTTTTCTCTTTTAGCTTTAACATGTATTTGCGTTAAAGAAAGTAATTTTTCTGACTGTGGTCCGTGTTAAAAAAAAAATGTTCTCGTCTTCTTTCGTAAAAGATATGGCGTATTGGTGAATATGAATAGTCGCGGGAGGTGTTTAATAATGTGGCCGCTCTGTCTTCATCTTCTCCAAGTCGAGACGAACACATTTATATATTTAGTCATAGTTGTACTGAACTAAATAACACTGTTGTATAATAAATAAAGGTGTTGTGTTACTGACTTGCGCAGATCTCCGTCCAGATGCTGCTGTCGGAGCCGTTTGAAGTTGGGCTCCTGGGCGTTGTACTCCTCCATGCTGGTGTCATAGAAACCCTGAAAAGTGGACCAAAAAAAGACATTTAATACTTTGAAATGAGCCAGCACTACAACTCAAGTATATTCGTCTAATGGCGCGTTTCCACTACACGGCCTCGCTCGGCCTCGCTCGGTATGGCTTGGCCTCGTTAGGACTGGCTCACTTTATGGCGCATTTCCATTACAGTTTAGGAACTGGGGTAGTAACTATAGTAACGCAGTGTAGGCGGAGCCGTGACGTGATCTTCAGAGGACCCCAGAAAAACAACACAGCCGTTAGCTGTTAGCACTCAGAGCTCACAGCTCCTCATATCTGTTCAGAAACTAGACAAAAGTTAAACAAGTACAAACCACAGACTGCCTGTGTCATGGCGAATACAGTCGCTGCTTTATTTATGTCTATAGGCCGTTGTTGGGAGTGTGGACGGTCGGAGCATATACTGCGTTAGCTTAGCCAATCTCCATTTAGAAAACAAGCATTTTAAAAGGTGTTTCGCCTGCCGTCTGTCTGCAGACTTGTCAAAGCATTAATTCATGGTTTTTACTAACCGGTATCAGTATGTTGTTACTTCGGCATCATTTTGAAATGTGTATTACAATTAAATCACGGTCAAATATGTCCATCTTGTTGTAGTTGTAGCCCTCTTGCCAGCGATGCTCTCTCTAGTTTAGCATACTCAGCCCGACTCAGCCTCGTTGTCTCTGGCCCTAGACCCACGATTTTATGAGGCCAGAAAAACTGTGAATTAGGACCCGCCGGCCGGTACTAGGCCAAGTGGAAACGCAACCAAAGACGGGCCGCTGACGTCACAGCCCTCTTAAACCGGGCTGCGGGCTGTAGTGGAAACGCGCCATAATACCTATCAGAATATGTCTCTCCACCTAAGACATAATAACTTCAGAAGTGACACTGCAGTGAGACATAGGCTCGTTTTTAGACAATGCTTCATCTCGTTCAGTCAAAACATCTTATTTTGAGTCGTATCTCAGAGGAAATGTGATTTATCTAAACATCCCGTCTTATTTCAAGACATCTTACCAAGCTAATGTTCACTTGTTCTATTGGCAGATTTTTGGACTTATTTCAAGTGAAACCGACTTCTTTTCATTCTTGTTTAGCTTGTTTTAGGAGCAGCATTTCAGTGAGAGAGCTGTGCAGGTGTTTGTTTCATAACGCATGGAAGCAGCTGATGGAGGTTTACCGATGCAGGCTTCTTCTCGAAGGGGATCTCAGCGTTGTAGTCCACTCCCCTCTTCTTCTTCCGCTTCTTCTGAGCGTCGATCCCAGCCGCTCTCAGCTCTCTGCGTTTCTGCAGAGCCGCCAAACGCCTGCAGAACGAACAGGACGACACTCGGTCACATATATATATCAACTATGCACGCATTCACATCCTTACAACAAAGATCATCAGGTGCAAGGCAAGTTTCTTTCTTTATACAGCACCTTTCAACACAAGGACATTCAAAGTGCTTTACAGACATGAAAGACACATATTATGAAATGGCATTTAAAACCCACTCATTTCAAAGCAAAGGAATTAAAGTGACTGCAGTGTGAGATACACACACCTGAAATGTTGAGCTCTGACTCTCAATCATCGCTCACTTCTTAGCACAAATAGTTTCACTTTCTTTCTACTTTCTTGTTTAACTTATCCTTTAGTTATTTCAAGTGTTTCAAGCTAAACGAACCCCCCTTTGGAAAACTCTAGGTGTAAATAAATGACCCGGGTGTATGGTGTTAGATTTGTCTCAATAATATTTGTGTGAACATAAAAATAATTTGTGTAAATGTGTGATTTGTAAAATGTCAAACACCGTCCACAAATGCATTCAAAAGACATGGCATTGTACAATAACATTAAAAGACTAAGAATGAAACCCTCTGTAGTTTCCTCAGGTTGTCACCCCTTGGGAAGCAGAGAGATGAATGATATAATAATTACTAGAGATGGGAATTTGAAAGCAGATTTATATTCGACCCCCCAAAAAAAGGTTAACCTAATTTACATATCCTATGAATAAATGTTCAAACTAATATAGAAACCAAACCATGTTTTCTTTGATATTTTTCTCAAGCTATTTAAAATGGCACTGTTGAGTACATTTAATTAATCAATTTGATAATATGTAATCAACTTAGGCACCCCTCCCATATAAAATAATTAATATTAGATTAATCATTCCCATCCCTAATAATTACGATTATTAAGAAGTTATGATCCCATCCATTGATAGATTGACCAGCCCTTTCTACTCCTTTAAGGTCCTGCTACTATTTACACCCCCCCCCCCCCTTATGTGTTTATTCTGTGTATCTGTGACACTGTACTTGTCTTGTAACTCCTATATCCCTAAATACGAAGACGTTGTGATGCAGTGATCTCTCTCTCTCTGACCTGGCCTCCTCCAGCTGCTTCTCTCTGGCCTTCCTCTTGGCTTTCTTGCCCTGAGTGTTGGCCAGTCGAGCTCTGGCCTCCGACAGCATCTCCAGCTCATCTGCACAGAGACAAACATATCATTAAAGGTCTCCTATTATACTGTTTCTCATCAATATATCACAGGTCTCAGATATATCCAGAGCCTGTCTCTGATTGGCTGAAACACCAAACAGATCATTGCAGCATTACCCATAATCCCCTCTGTTTCAGCCCTGTTTCCAAAGTGCTGATTCTCTGTCTGTTGCTTTAGATGAAAATAAGGAGCCCCTCCCCACGCCCCTCTGAGAGACATTTGGTTACAAAGAACTCAATGGTGCTCTAGGAGCAGATTCAGGTGATAAGTGGGGGGGGGGGGGGGGGGGTTACCTTGGTTGCTGATTGGCTAATGGTTACACAAGACAGAACATCGTTATGACATCATAAAGTGGCCAAAATCTGATCAGCTCATTTTCAGACAGGTTTTTATAGAAATGGATCAAAAAGAGAGAGTCTATTTACACAGAGGGGATACATGGTGATGAAGAAGAGACATGAAGAAGAGGGGACACATGTTGATGAAGAAGAGACATGAAGAAGAGGGGACACATGTTGATGAAGAAGAGACATGAAGAAGAGGGGACACATGGTGATGAAGAAGAGACATGAAGAAGAGGGGACACATGTTGATGAAGAAGAGACATGAAGAAGAGGGGACACATGTTGATGAAGAAGAGACATGAAGAAGAGGGGACACATGGTGATGAAGAAGAGACATGAAGAAGAGGGGACACATGTTGATGTAGAACAGACATGAAGAAGAGGGGACACATGGTGATGAAGAAGAGACATGAAGAAGAGGGGACACATGTTGATGTAGAACAGACATGAAGAAGAGGGGACACATGGTGATGAAGAAGAGACATGAAGAAGAGGGGACACATGTTGATGTAGAAGAGACATGAAGAAGAGGGGACACATGTTGATGTAGAAGAGACATGAAGAAGAGGGGACACATGTTGATGAAGAAGAGACATGAAGAAGAGGGGACACATGTTGATGTAGAACAGACATGAAGAAGAGGGGACACATGTTGATGAAGAAGAGACATGAAGAAGAGGGGACACATGTTGATGTAGAAGAGACATGAAGAAGAGGGGACACATGTTGATGTAGAAGAGACATGAAGAAGAGGGGACACATGTTGATGTAGAAGAGACATGAAGAAGAGGGGACACATGTTGATGTAGAAGAGACATGAAGAAGAGGGGACACATGTTGATGTAGAAGAGACATGAAGAAGAGGGGACACATGTTGATGAAGAAGAGACATGAAGAAGAGGGGACACATGTTGATGTAGAACAGACATGAAGAAGAGGGGACACATGTTGATGAAGAAGAGACATGAAGAAGAGGGGACACATGTTGATGTAGAACAGACATGAAGAAGAGGGGACACATGTTGATGAAGAAGAGACATGAAGAAGAGGGGACACATGTTGATGAAGAAGAGACATGAAGAAGAGGGGACACATGTTGATGTAGAACAGACATGAAGAAGAGGGGACACATGTTGATGAAGAAGAGACATGAAGAAGAGGGGACACATGTTGATGAAGAAGAGACATGAAGAAGAGGGGACACATGTTGATGTAGAAGAGACATGAAGAAGAGGGGATACATGTTGATGTAGAAGAGACATGAAGAAGAGGGGACACATGTTGATGTAGAAGAGACATGAAGAAGAGGGGACACATGTTGATGTAGAAGAGACATGAAGAAGAGGGGACACATGTTGATGAAGAAGAGACATGAAGAAGAGGGGACACATGTTGATGTAGAAAAGACATGAAGAAGAGGGGACACATGTTGATGAAGAAGAGACATGAAGAAGAGGGGACACATGTTGATGAAGAAGAGACATGAAGAAGAGGGGACACATGTTGATGTAGAAGAGACATGAAGAAGAGGGGACACATGTTGATGAAGAAGAGACATGAAGAAGAGGGGACACATGTTGATGTAGAAGAGACATGAAGAAGAGGGGACACATGTTGATGTAGAAGAGACATGAAGAAGAGGGGACACATGTTGATGAAGAAGAGACATGAAGAAGAGGGGACACATGTTGATGTAGAACAGACATGAAGAAGAGGGGACACATGTTGATGAAGAAGAGACATGAAGAAGAGGGGACACATGTTGATGAAGAAGAGACATGAAGAAGAGGGGACACATGTTGATGTAGAAGAGACATGAAGAAGAGGGGACACATGTTGATGTAGAAGAGACATGAAGAAGAGGGGACACATGTTGATGAAGAAGAGACATGAAGAAGAGGGGACACATGTTGATGTAGAACAGACATGAAGAAGAGGGGACACATGTTGATGAAGAAGAGACATGAAGAAGAGGGGACACATGTTGATGAAGAAGAGACATGAAGAAGAGGGGACACATGTTGATGTAGAAGAGACATGAAGAAGAGGGGACACATGTTGATGTAGAAGAGACATGAAGAAGAGGGGACACATGTTGATGTAGAAGAGACATGAAGAAGAGGGGACACATGTTGATGTAGAAGAGACATGAAGAAGAGGGGACACATGTTGATGAAGAAGAGACATGAAGAAGAGGGGACACATGTTGATGTAGAAGAGACATGAAGAAGAGGGGACACATGTTGATGTAGAAGAGACATGAAGAAGAGGGGACACATGTTGATGAAGAAGAGACATGAAGAAGAGGATTTTGCACACTAGGTGACCTTTAAATCTTTCCCCAAAACATACCTTCGTCCATGTCCACCGGGTCGGGTCGGGCAGGTTTAGTTTCAGGGTTCGGATCGATCTCTCCTGGTTTTAACTTCCTGGGGTCGTCTCCCACTTCCTCCTCATTATCCTTTTGTGCTGCCTTGTCTCTGAACACCCACACACACACACACACACACACACACACACACACACACCCCCACACACACACACACACACACACACACACACACACACACACACACCACACATATATAACACACTCAATTAAAGAGCTTCAGGTAGTGTTACTTGCATCCTTTGGTTACTAAAACCCTTTATGAACACACAGTTAGAAATACACTACATTTATACAGTTTTGTACATTTAAAGTTTTTAGACTGTAAGTGTAAATATGCACAGCTTTGATCTCACAGTATAATTATAAACATGAAACCTATGCAGTGTATGAATGTTGTGCATTCAGATCTTACAGCAGGTATTCGTAGTGCTCCAGGCACTGAGCGGCGGTGCGTCCGATGATGGGAGCGATGGTCCTCCACTGGGTGGGCATCAGCTTGGCCAGATGCAGCAGCTTCTCCTCCTCTTCTCGGGACCATTCTGTCTTCTTGATGCTGGGATCCAACCACTCGTACCTGCAGACGGACAGAGCACACCGTTTAACAAAGAGGTATGAGAACCGGAGATCACACTGGGACAAAGGATGGGTTTCGTGGAGCGGCAAAACACAACAAACCGACGGGCGAAAGCACAGAAAAAGGGCCGAAATCATGACAGTAGGGAGCTCAGGTCACTATGCTCGCTACATTATTGATATCGATAGGATTATTATTTTTAGGGTCTGAGACCAGAGGTTGGCGAAGACCCTATTGTTTTGATTTTTCCACTTTGAACGCAAATTTGACCGCCTGAACATATATGAAAACTCACCCAGACTTCAGTCCAGCAGAGAAAACATGGGAGAAAGCACCCACTAAAAACCAGATGTACTTTATTTGACCAAGTGCATCTGGTTTTGTGTTGCTTCCTGTTCGAGAAATCTCACTGGATATCGGTTCTTCTCGGTAATCATACATCCTGTCATGTACAAAATACTGACTTTTTTCTCAAAATGTTGGCTTTTTCTCCAAATTCTGACTTTTTTCTCAAAATCCTGACTTTTTTCTCAAAATTCTGACTTTTTTCTCAAAATCCTGACTTTTCTCAAAATCCCCACTTTTTTCTCAAAATCCTCACTTTTTTCTCAAAATTCTGACTTTTTTCTCAAAATCCTGACTTTTCTCAAAATCTCAAAAATGTTAATAATCACTTGTCCCCGGCTTCAGCTTCAATCTCAGGATCCATGTATTTCTGATCCTCTCAAGAATGGAAGTAGTCAAAAAAAAAAAAAATGTGTTGGTATTTTCCTAAAAATATAAAAATTCTGATTTTTTTCTCTCAAAATCAAACAATTCTGACTTTTTTTCTCAAAATTCTGACTTTTTCTGAATACTTTAACATGTTTTAATCACTGGTCCCCGGCTTGAGCTTCAATCTCAGGATCCATGTATCTCTGATCCTCTCCAGAATGGAAGTAGTCATCACATACAGAGCATCAACTAGTTCCTGAACAGTGTCCTTCACATGCTGATATCCAAGAGAGGGAGTTACACAGTCACAAGATGGAGGAATAGAAAGCAGTATTCAATGTTTACTTCAGATTAGCTCCACGTCAGAAATGAGCATGCTTGTCATATGTCTATCTCCATAGAGGCTGAATCATCATGTTAATCACATAGCTATCATATGCCTCAAACAGTCCTGATGCTCTTCTAGGTAATCAGACATCCTGTCATGTTCACAGCTACAGTTGGGATAGCTTTGTTAGCATGTTACTCTCATATTGGAAGAGGACATTCAGGATTTCCCAGCACTTCCCTTTCCCTGTAACGAGCTGGGACGTGACACCATCACATGTCTTAGTAACAGGAAGACTCACCATCGAGCTTTACACTGTTTGGCAGACTTGCGATGCAGCAGGGAGGCGATTCGAGACCACTGGTTTTTCCCATATTTCATCACGGCCGCCTTGAGGATCTCATCCTGAGAGGAAAGGAAAACACAGAGACAGAAATTAAAGCTTAAACATGGAACCTGGCCACGGTCCTGGTTCTATTAATCCCTTCAATCTGACTGTGATTAACAACTAAGGATCAACAGCAAAAACAAACACAAGAAGAGTTCAGGAGACAAAGTCTAACACTCTTTACCTGGACTCCTACATCGTTTCATCTTTAAATAATATGTTTAAATACAACCCATTTAGAAGTAGTTGTACTTTATTCACCAAACACAGCCTTGATGTTTAAAGAACCCTCTGACTATAATACTCTGCCTTTAAGTATCTGAGCAACAGCTTTGCAGAGGTGGGAAGTAACTAAGTACATTTACCCAAGTACTGTACTTAAGTATAATATTGAGGTACTTTTCTGCTACTCTGTACTTCTACTACACTACAGTTCAGAGGTAAATGGTGTACTTTTCCTCCACTACATGTATTTAATACCTTTAGTTACTTCACAGATCTGGATGAATGATGTGAAATATAATCAAGTGTTAAATCAGACTTTAGTTCCACCTGGAGTAAATCCACAAGCTACCCTGCAGTATACAAAGTCATTCAAACTAGCTGCACCTTTACCAGCTTTGAGAACACTTTCATGATCAATCATTATAAAACATATCATATATATTATTCTGAAATGGACCAATCTGCACAATGACTACTTTTACTGTCGCTACTTTCACTATATTTTGATGATAATACTTTTCTACTTTCACTTGAGGAACATTTTGAATGCAGGACTTTTACTGTAATAGAGTATTCCTACACTCTGGTACTTCTACTTTTACTCAAGTACAAGATCTGAGTACTTCTACTTTTACTCAAGTACAAGATCTGAGTACTTCTACTTTTACTCAAGTACAAGATCTTAGTACTTCTACTTTGACTCAAGTACTAGATCTGAGTACTTCTACTTATACTCAAGTACAAGATCTGAGTACTTCTCCCACATCTGATTTATATATATATATCTTTATATTTAGCTAGGCGGGCTAATTTCCCGTTGAGAGAGCAGTTAGCTTCATGCTAATTCAGTCACATTGGTTTACTATGAGTTGTTAGCGTCGTGCTCACGCAGCAGTTAGCATCGTGCTATCTCGTTCCCATTGGTTTACTATGAGTTGTTAGCATTGTTAGCATCATGTTAGCTCCATTTTAGCTTCATGTAAACACAAACCTCCGTGTTGCGCCACACGCCTCCTTTAATCATGATTCTCGGCATCTTGGCGGCCTGGTTGTCTCTCCTCCTTCGGTGAAAGTGTTATAACTGATTCTCAGTCAGTTATGGAGGAAAGTGGAGCTGCACAATGTTTTTTTTGTAGTTTCAATCAAACTACATCCAATGCGAGGGAGCAACGAGCTGCACCACACCGGAAACTGGTGTCGCAGAATCAACGGTCCGACGACTTCGTCTTCTTCGGGTTTTACAGCGGTTAGCATCCAGCTTCACGGTGCATTACCGCCACCCTTCTGTTCCGGAGTGGATCAGAAATATACGTAGTTCACATTCTAGAGGTATTATAAACAGTAGAAAAATAAAAAGGACATCCTCTTCATCAATCCAGTTTTCTTAAATAATGTAGCGACCCTGTGGAAACATTACAATACTCAAATCAGGCTTTTATATTCATCCTCCTCAACACTAACAGGTTCCTGAGATTAAACAGACCCACCCCACATTGTCTCTTCGTTGTGATTCTCTGTGTGTCTTTAATATTTAATGACAGATGACACGTTTTACAGTTTCTTCATCTAAACCACGGCCCTTTCTCATGTCATCAAATGTCCCATCCTCGACTCCTCGGTCCTCCGGTAGTGACCCGGAAATGAATTTTAGCGCGCCATGTTGAAGGACATCTCATTTCTCGAAATGCACATCGAGGACCGAGCATCGAGCGTCGAGGAGGCTCTCTGGAGGAGCTATAACCGAGGATACACTGATGGGTCCTCCACAGTCCTCCACGGCTCCTTCGTGGATGCATTTCCGGCAACAGTGATGTTTCAAAGAGTCGAGACGCACGGCCGGACTTATCTCAGCCAATGACAGCTCTGCATGCATCCCCTGGATATTATTTTATTAACTGCTTTCATCGCGACGCGATGTTTACAGTGAGAACAGCTGTGAGGTCCGTGCAGAAAGCAGAGCAGTGTGTATAATATATATCATATCACTCAGTATAACAGGCCTACTCTCTTTATTTGCTTTAGTTTAGTAGATATCTACAAACAAAGTCGATATTTTTCTAAAACCATTTAGTGCTTCACATAATAAAATACACAACGGCTGTAGCCTGATTATATGCTTTAGGAGCTGTAGGTGCGTGTGTGTGGTGTAGGTGTGTGTGGTACAGTGTGTGCGTAGATGCAGCGGACAGACAGGCCTCAGTTGGTTTGGTGTCCTCTGCTTACTTGTAATACTTGTAAATAAAACTTTTGGCCCGTCATTTATTTCCCTCATTGTAGCGACCAGAGAGGGGGGGGGGGGGGGATATATCCAGTCTCTGATAGTGTTACGTTATTATGAGAGTGCTCTGTTTGATTCTGAAATTGTATATATTTATATAAATATATACATATATATGTGTGTGTGTGTGTGTGTGTGTGTGTGTGTGTGTGTGTGTGTGTCTGTGTGTGTGTCTGTGTGTATGTCCGCATCTGTAGCCTGTTATTGTCTCATTATACCGCACTGTGAATGAATTAAAAGTAAATATATAAGTCGTCATGAACACATCTGTCCATCAGACAGAGGGCTGCTGTGCCTCCTGTCATCATTAATGGACGTCTCTTTAAAATGACCGCTCAGAGGAGAGGAGTTCTCATTTCTCTAACCGCCTGCTGCTTCCCCTCCTCTCTCCTCGGTTCCCCTCCTCGGTTCCCCTCCTCGGCTCCTCCGCTCGCATCTCCTGTGGGCGGGACTAAGTCTCGAGGATAGGAGTCGAGGAGGGGAGTCGAGGAGGAACATTTGAAGACATGAGAAAGGGCCCACATTTTACTTTTTGAACGGGGCCGCTTGTCATGTGACGACGAACATCCAATCACAGCCAAGCTTTCCTGCCTTCCGTAAACACCAACCGTCTTCAGTATATAGACGTTTATTATTTTACTGCCAACAGAGTTTAAGATCTGTACAGAATGTCTACTTTATAGGACATGTTATGAGCTCTGCTGCTGCTCATCTGTCACATGATCACAATGTCAGTTATAATAATAATTAAGCTGCGCAACTCCTCTCTGCAGGGACGTAGGGACCGTCTACAAAGTGCAACACCGAAACATGATACAACTAAAATAATAAATAACTTCCCTGTCCTAAAGTTTTACCAAAATCTCTTCGCACATCTTCTAACACTTCCCCCACATATAACATACATCTCTCCATGGGCATAGCCGTGGGAACATGTTTCCAAAGGAGGGTTGCTGTGGGGATGACACCAGGGCCGGTTCTGACCAGTGTGCTGCCCTAGGCAAGATTTTAGCTGGCAATGAAAAACCTCTACAAAAGACCAATACACTACAAACAGAGAAACGTATTGACATGGTGGACAGCTTGTATAAAAAGGCTTCAAATGTATTTAGTATTGTATGAACATGTTTTAATTGGGGGGTGGACGTCACATCCTCTAGGGGGGTCCGGGTGTGCCCCCACGGAAAGAAATGTTGTAACATTTTAAAGTAAAATGCTTCAATCTGGTGCACTTTGAGCGCCCAAGTAGATCTAGGGGGTACAACTTGTTGTAGCAAATACTTTGGATGGTGGCTTAAAGCCCCTGAATTCCATCCGCTGGCTGTCGGTGTTCCTTTCTAGAGATCAGCACTCATCACGTCGCAGGTCACCATAATTGTTATAGCAAATACTTTGGATGGTGGCTTAAAGCCCCCCTCCGCTACGCGCCGTTCGTTAGATGAGGCTGGTTATATTTAATAAAGAAATAATTCAAAACACCGGAATAAAGGTTATAACAATAATCTGATTTTACTGGTAAGAAACAAAGCACGTATACAAGTTTACAGAGTACTCCGGACTTTCAATTTCCACTGCTGTGCGATACAGGTATCGGGACCAGCCAGTCAGAAAACAGGAAGCATTTTACATGCAAAAACAACAGTATTCATATTCATATTTTGGGGCGGAGATGTGTTGACTCCTTCCTTCCCATTTTACTCCGAAGCGAATCAGAGAGTCCGTGGGGAGGAGCTGTGTGAGCTGCTCACTCCCCCAGGTGTTTTTACTGGTTGGATTCACTTCTGGTCGGGTCCAACACAGCGAATCAGAGTTCTGAGAAAAAGTATGTTTTCTTCTGAGCAGAGCGTGAGATTCGGAAGTTCACAAGGACAGAGTCAATCTTATCTCTGCACCTATATTCACTCCTTTACTTTCCCAAGGAATATTTCACACAAACTATTCTTTCCCAGACAACCAAACATTGTACACAGATATATTGATGCCCAGAAAGAACCTTGAAAAGAATATGTGTGTGTGCTGGTGGGAGGAGGTGTATGTGTGTGTAACAGGATCTCTGGGTCAGTGAGTTGTAAGTGAGAAGACAATATGTATATATGTGATGACTTAAAACAGTTCAAACAATACATGTTCACTAAAATACAATTCAAAATAATACATGTTTACTTCAATATAGTTTAGAACCATATCTGTTTACTTTAATCCCTCTTTTGATCTCACCTCACGAGATCAACATATACACAGCATTTGAAACATAACCACTGTCATTCTTTTCTACTGTGTCTGTCCCAACATTTATATAAATCCATCAGAAGCTGGGATTTAGAGCACTTTAAACCTTTAGGAACAGTCCACCATAACAACTTCTTATGACAGTGGAGGGAGACCAAAATATGTTTAAAAAAATTCGTCCTTGTCGGCTGAGTCATCGTACTCTTCCCCCTCCGACGCGTAAGCCAACAAGGGCATTTGGTACGAAGGGGAAGGGGCAGCTTTTCCCTCAATGGTGGAACTGATGAGTCTAACACACAATGAGCGGATACAAGGCACACAACAACAACCACATGTCACTAAAATGGCAATAAAAATAGCCACAGAAATTAGAAGACTGTTGGGGTGAGGCAGACATATTTAGCGAGACCTGAGTATGATTTGTCAGAGTTGGAACATGGGGCGATTGCGCACAGATCTATGTCCACTATTCCGTCGCTACCTTCTTGGAGAGTGAAGGTTCTTTTTGGAGACATAAGGCTCGCTACTCTAGTCCCTCTTTTGGTCCTTACTATCTCTTCCTCTGGGGCGGGAGTTGGAGAAAGAACATCATTAGTTTTACAGATAATGAAAATTATCGTTACCATAATGGTAAGTAGGAGGCCCAGGCCCGCTACCATTCTCCAGTGCCCGTACATAATTATGCTGTTAGCTCCAATTCTTCTGGTATCTTTAAACCGTATATTACCAATGGTCAATGCGATCGTACCTTGGTTCCCCAGAATACAAAACGTGCCCCCTGAGGGAGATTGAGACCCAGATATGCCAAAACCCTCTTGAATACGAGGAGTATTTAAATATACATCTACCCTCGTCCAGATGTTGAGTAATGATAAAAGGGCCTATTTTAAAAGGGCCTATTTGGAAAGTAAAACAGGAGTTACTCCCAACTTGGTTAGTGATTGATTTTAAGCTATAGGTTTTAAATGGTAAATGCGGGTTCCCACATATATCAGTAGTCTTCCACCAACTGATCCAAGTTAGCAGGGGTGAGGGAGATACCCGGGTTTTATTACCTATCTCACAGAGGTTTTCTAAGCGCCTCTGAAAGGTACTCGTGTTGCTCGGAGTCTGAAGAGAGATTCCTGTGTCTGCCCCAAAAGAACCCTTCAACATTTCCTAGAACCTTTAACACATAGTTCTGTAGAATAAAAATAAACAAATCCCTTAAACAATGGGCAAAAAATATACAAATCCCTTAAATTATGGGATGAATCAAGTCCCCAAAAATAATGGGCAAAAATATACCAATCCCTTAAATAATGGGATATAAAAGCAAAGTTCAAAGTTCCTCAAAAAATGGATTATTAAAACAAAGTTCAAAGTTCCTCAAAAAATGGATTATTAAAACAAAGTTCCACACCGGCTATATCAACCTGTTTCAGCGGGAAGTGGAGTTCCCTGTGCCGTCTTGGTTTGCCGTGTCTTTATCCCCCCAGCCCGCTGACGGCGGCTTCTGGGCTGCCTGCTAGAGAGATGTCTTCTGGATTCTCCTCCTCCGGCCCGCTGATGGCGGCTTCCGGGTCGATGCTGGAGAGATGTCTTCCCGATCCTCCTCCTTCCGGCCCGCTGATGGCGGCTTCCGGGTCGATGCTGGAGAGATGTCCTCCCGATCCTCCTCCTCCGGTCCGCTGATGACGCCTTCTGGGTCGACTGCTGGAGAGATGTCCTCCCGATCCTCCTCCTCCGGTCCGTTGATGACGTGACGAGGGCCAGATCTGTCCTGATGTCGTCTAGGGTCCTCGCAGGTGTTTTCCCGACTGCACACTGGCTCCAGTGGTACCAGTTGTCTCCCTTTCCTTCTAGGCGGACGGCATGGGAGGTCCTTTGGGTCACTCGGTAGGGGCCAGAAAACCTGGGGTTGAGCCACTTAGGCCTGATGACTTTCAGCCAGACGAACTCTGCTGTGTTGGCCTCGTGTTTCTCGGGTCCCCCTTTGGCGTCAGCAACCTGTGTGGAGAAGTCTCATACCAAGCCCTTAAGTTGCTGGAAATATGGTTTTGAACTCATGACCTCTACTTTCTTTCCTACGCTCAAGGCTCCGGGGCCTGGGAACTGATG